CGGCGGCGGCAGCAGTGCAGCCGGAGGGGATGCGGCGCTGGATTTCAAGTTGGCGGCTGCTGTGCTGAGGACCGGAGGTGGAGGTGGTGCCTCTGGCAGTGACGAAGACGAGGTGTCCGAGGTACGGCTCCTACACAGCGCGTGAGGCGTGAATTGTCTTTGGGCCAGCACGGGGTTTGGGGCCATGCTCCCGCTTCCCGGGTGCAGTCGTTCTCTGACAGCGGTCAGCTCTTCGGCGGTGGTGGCAGCCGTGCAGGCCTGGGGAGGGCTCGGCTCGTTCTTCAGCTCGCGGCAGGAGCGGGACGGGTTCCCGTCATCTGTAGACCCACAATAGGGAGTCCTTTGGAGCTTCGCGCGGGAACAAGGACTAGCCAGGCTACCTCCCGCCCACCCCGCTTTGGGGATGGGGGAGGGCGGGGTCTTGCCCAATGTCCCTGCCCTTGGTACTGAGAGAGATACAGAGGTAGCTAAGTAAGCGCAAAGAGCATTTGTACTGTGTGCCTTTTCTCAAAGATGAAGGGTGTATTTATTTGCCTTTTCTCTTAGTATGCCTTACCTGTGTATTTAAGTAGCTCTCTTATTTTTCCTTTTTAGTTTGAGACAGGTGAATATTAAGGAGTTTTCAGCTTTTACCCAGAAAAATCACGTGACTCTTGACTCCTGGGACGTTTTGTAAAGTTAGACAGGAAAAGGAAGTTCCAGTGTATCTCTCAGCTTCGGAATAGCTTGGATGGCTGAACTCAAAGGCTTTTAGGTTGGGAGAAGGTGAGGTATCCTACCAATACCTTTCTTTTGTAGTGAGGAAAATGAGTTATCAGTTCCTTCATTTTTTTAAAACTCATGTATATATACTCTTCTTTGCACACATTTTTAGGCCCCATCAATCTACTATAGTAGGCCTCATCCTCATTTTGGCTCTGGGGGAAAAGATATATATATGGAAAGAGGGGAGATTTACCTACCCCACTGTTTTCTCCTGACAGTGGCTCGTCCTTTAATGACTGTTTTATGCTTGGAATATTGTTTGGTTCTAGGTTCCTTGTTATTTTAATCTCTAATCTTGGTGCTAAAGTACAGGAATTTCTCCGTGTATACAGACAATCCTGGCTCCTCCTTTTGAGATTAATAAAAGCCACACATGGTGGTGTATGCCTGTAATCCCATCATTAAGGAGGCTGAGGCAAGAGGATGGCGACGAGGCCAACCTGGGCTACATAGTGGGTTGAAGCCCAGCCTGAACTATGTAGCAAGACCCCATCTCAAAAAACAAACAAAACACCAAAGGAACAAAAACCTCAGGTGAATAAAGGGAGTTTATTTTTGGATTACAGAATACAGTTAGTACTTATTCTAGGTGTGAACAGGGATTTCTTTTAAATTTAAAACCTTAGTACATTCTGTCCCCAGCATTTTCTTTGGAAAACCAATATATTAGATTTTAAGGTGGATAGTCCCCTGAATGTCTATGTCTATATCTATAAGGGAAATAACTATGAAGACAAGATGAGACAAGGAATTTATTTGAATAGTCAGTTATGGGATGAATTTCTGGAGCACTTGGGCTGTTACCTCTTTAGTGAAAAAAAACTTTATTTATTTATTTTTGGTACCTGGGATTGAACTTGGGACCTTGCACTTGTGAGGCAGGCCATGGCACCACTGAGCTAAATCCTCAGCCCTCTTTAGTGAAATTTGATGATAGATGAACCTAGAACACATGGACTTTTAGCTAGGAAATGAAGTGGAAAGCTCTTTTTTTTTTTTTCTTTTTGGAGACAGGTTCTCCCTATGTAGTTACTGCTGGTCCTGAACTTACTATATAGCCCAGGGTGCCCTCGAACTCATGGTGATTCTCCTGGTCCGCCTCCTAAGTGCTGGGATTACTGTTGTGGGCTAGCACACCCTGCCTGAAGGCTATCTTTAAACTCTTAAGAACTATACTGTAGTTTATTTTTCCTTGAAACTTGTAAGGGAGAATCTGAAAAGCTTAGTTTTTTAATAATATAATAGAGAACCTTTTTTATTTTTCTGGGCCAGTTCTACATAATTGTCATAAGTGAATTGAGAGATCACTCACTTGCTTTCATGCAAGCAGAATTTAAATTTCTTTAGATAAAGTTAGAGTGCTGGTGAGCCTCCAAAGTCATAAATACCTCCCCCCATTTCATTTGGTGTCACCATACTGTGAGGTTAAAGTATGGGCACCATCCATACCTCTTGAGTTCTTTTGACATTTATTGTAGAAGTAATGATTTCAGGGTTTCCATACTCAGGAATGGCTAATGTAGAACCCCTTGTTCTCCTATTTACTTATATTTTCTGGGCCATAAAAGTCTTTAGGAATAAATTCATATGCAGATCTAATTTTTGTAGTGAAGGATAGTATAACTACAGACTTTAGTGTAAGTTAAGGTGGTGTTTGAAGAGAAAGACAATTTTTTGTGTCCCATTACTCCCACGTCACATAAAAAATTCTTAGTATATCTAGTCTCTGCTTTATAGTATGTGTGGTAGGAAGTAGAATGAAATAACCTATTGTGTCTAGAGAATTCCTAGCGTTTTCGGTTTTTTAAGATGAGCTGCCTTCTTCATATTTATGCTTTTGAATGGTGTGTAAAGATCATAAATAATGTTCAAAAATACCTAACTGGAATTTGATGAATAATATTAAAAGCCTTATTTTCATCTTAATTGTTCTATATATTTTGTGTACAGAGGAGCAGATACTCTAGAATTTCTTTTCTGTTTAGTATTCAAAGTGAACAGTTGAGAAAAAAAATGATGCTTTCTGTGCTGATACTCAAAAGACTTTCTAGTTTGATGAAGGGATTTAGGTCTGTCAGTAAATTCTTTTTCTAATGTTGGAATTGTGCTATTTTAGAGAACGCTATCAATTTAGTTCCTTTGTTTTAAACATTGGAGTAAACTCTGTTTTGTATTTCTTCAGACATATTGAGCACGTTCCTTATTTGTCTGAGGCCTTGAATAGAAGAGTCAGAACTTGAACTGGATCTTATTGGCATGTACCCATTATTCAGAATAGAGGTCAGGTTAAAAATTCTTTAAAACCTAGTTTTTAAATATTAATTTTAGAGTTATAGTCTTTATTAATTTTAGAGTTATAGTCTTTTTTTTTCTCGGCACCAGGGATTGAACTCAGGATCTTGTGCTTGCCAGGCAGGTGAGGAACCACTGAGCTACATCCCCGGCCCTATACAGTTGTCATTTATTTTTATTTATTTATTTATTTATTTGGTACCAGGGATCGAACTCAGGACCTTGTGCTTGCGAGGTAGGCAGTGAAACCACTGAGCTAAATCCCTGGCTCTAGAATTGTCATTTTTAAAGGAAGCTTAAAGAAAAATAAAATTTCTAAAGAAAAGCCATTGTGAAATTGATGATTTTTAATTTTTGTCATCAGAATATATATTATGCATATATACATATGTTATGCATATATACATATATACTGTTTGTGGAACATCTTTAAATTATTATAAAAGTGCATCAGTCTCATGATGAAAAAAAATCCAATATAGATAGTAGCTATAAGGTGAAAAGTAAAAATCCTCTTCACTCCCACCTCCTTCAGCTCTCTCTTCAAGGTAACCATTGTTAAAATTTTTGTTTCAAGATGGGCCTGGTGGCAGGCCTATAATCCCAGTACTCTGGGAAGTTGAGGCAGGAAGACTGCAAGTTCCAGCCCAATCTGGACAATTTAGCAAGATCATGTCTTAAAAATAAAATGGGGTGGAGATGCAGTTCAGTGCAAAGGCTGTGAGTACAAGCCCAACTACTGAAATGAAATCTAGCGAATTTTCTAGGCCTGTATGTCTGTGTACATTGTATACATGTTCAAGTACATTCATTTTAGACAGGTATTAAATTAGAAAGTGTAGTTTTATATCATATTGGGGTTTTTTTCCTTGAGACATGTGCTTTATTTATAGTTATATAAAAGCACATCGACATTGAACATAACCCTGAAATTATAGCACAAGCTCTTTAGGCAAGAGCTACTACATTTTTCCTGAAAATTATTTTTTTTAGTCTAAAGGCATTGGTCATATAGAAGTGTCCTATCTTGATTTTTTTTTTCCTCTAGTAGCAAAGGAATTGGTTTATTTTCTTTAGTATTATTTATGATCTATCATGTAGAGCAACATATTGACATTTTGGGCCAGATAATTATTTTGTGAGGGATTCTTCTGTGCATTAAAAGCATCCCTGATTTCTATCCACTAGATGCCAGTAGCCAAAAATTGTTCAGACATTGCCATATATCTTCTGGAAGCAAAATCACCCTTAAGTAAGAACTTCTGGTCTAGAGGCCACTCTTGTCAGACATGGCAATTTTGTCATGAATATTCTGTATTCAAACTTCAGGTAAACAAGGTGAGTCATTGCTTTTAATAGCATTTCAGGGTTATATTCATAACCTGAACAAGGGAGAAATAGAAAGAAGGTACTGAAAGATTTAATGTAAAATAACTATGTACTACTATAAATTTGATATGGTAAATTATTATTTTGAGGGACTTTCATTTAAAATATGTTTTTTAAAAGTATAGTCTTTTTATGAAAATGAATTTTAAAAATTTACAGGGTACTTTAAATTTGTCCAAGGTAAAGAGCTTTATTCCATTATTGTCATCAGTAATGGTAAAATAGGAAGTATAACTTTATATTGTAGTTGGTAAATTTTAGAGAAGTCGGAAATGTTCATTGAAGACAAAAATTACATGTTATTACTGTAACAATTTGTTATATACCGCATGAGTATCAACCTTGCATAAACTTTGTTCTGTATAGCCTTAAAACTAGATATAAACTATGGCCTTGGGGATACAGCTCAGAGGCCCTGAGTTCAATTACTGGTACTAAAAAAGCAAAACAAAAACCACTAGATATAAACTGATACATGAGGATTATGGTTATATGAATTACAAATGGCAGGTCAATACAGAGTTAATTAGTTTGGGTAGAAAAAAATTTATTGTGAAACTTATAAAGTATGAGGATTTTTTGGGGGGGCAGGGTTATTATTTAGAATACATTTTCAATAGGTGATTACATTCATATAGCTTATAAGTCAAAATAATGTAAGAGTAGATAATAAAGTCCTGTTTCCACTCCTGCTCCCACATATCCTGCCCTCTATTTTAATATCTTCTATATTCTTTCAGTTTGTTTTGTTTTTAAGTGCTGGGGATTAAATTTAGGGCCTCAAATATGCTAGGCAAGGTCTCTACTATTGAGCTGAACAGATACGTATTTATGTTTTCCTTATACAAAAGGTTACATACTCTTCATGTGAGATTTTTAAATGGCAAATTTGAGAGCAATTTAAAATTTTTTTAAAAATGGGATGTAGCTCAATGGTAGAGCATTTGCTTAGTATGCACAGACCTGCTAGGTTCATCATTCAGCATTCAAAGAAAGAAAGAAAAAAAGAAAACAAAGTGATAACTCATTGACCATGAAGCATGGAGATGATTTGAAGCGCATTCATTTTGAGCCTGAGTAGAGTGATGATGGATTAGATGACCTCTGAAAATCACCTGTACTTCTGATCCCATGTAGATAAGATCAAATAAGTTACTTTAAAGAAAAGCGAAGTAGTTTTCAAGAGTATTTACATAGAATTGGCAAATGAGAAGAAATGATATCTACTTTTTTTTTCTTTTTTGCTATACTTAACCTTAGAACTAAACTTATAAAAAAATAAAATCAATTCTTTTTTTTAACCACTGTAAATGAACTGATTTTTCTCAGACTTTGTTGATCACATTTCCCTGTCTTATTGCTTGTCATGGAATCTTGATGATAATCCTATCTCATCTCCTTTTAGGTAACTGCTACCATTTATTGAATGCTTACTATATGCCAGTATCGTACTAGATACTTTCGTTATTTTATTTAGTCGTTTCAACACTCCTTTGAGGTAGGTATTATCTACATTTTTACAGATGAATAAATATAGGTTCGGAGAAATGAAGTAATGAATCAAAAACAAAACAAAGCAATAACAACAGAATGGCTTAAAATATTAACATGTTTGTGAGTGGTAAAGCTAGATTAGAAGACAGTACTGAATCCAGAGCCCATGCTTCTTCAGATTAAGAAATAATCAGTGTTTTTGGTTACCAAATGTTTCTCCAATAAATTGTTGCATGCTTTCTTTTGAAATTTTCATAGATCTCAATGAGGAAAATAAAGACAATGTAGTGAATTTCTCAAAACATTTTTTCTACTTTTTAAATTCTGAAATAATGCCCTTAATTTTACAAAATGAATTTTAAAAATATTTGTACTTGAGGGCTGGTGATTTAGCTCAGTGGTGCTGCCACCTGCCTTGCAAGCACAAGGTCCTGAGTTTGATCCCCGGTACCAAAAAATAGAAAATTTTGTACTTGACAGAATATCTGGTTAGGAGAAAAAAGAGACTATTAGCTTAGAAACTTTACTCTTGGGTAAAGCCTCAGTAGTATAGGAGCCATTGAACTGAATGACTCTTCCAGGGATCAGTACACAGGTTAGTATGTAGCAGTCAAAATTAGAAAAGAGCTCATCTGACTCTTGTTCTAGTTATCTTTCTTGCTAGATTGTTCTGTTCTCCGTCTTCTGATGCAATGTACTAATTAACTAGTTGCATAAGAAAAATCTATCTCAAACTAGCATGTAATCATTGTTGGCCTTTTTGGAAAATTTTTATATTAATCAAATTGGTGACAGCAGTATAGATCAGCATATTAAGATGTGCCTTTGAATACCATTGAAAATGGTAAGAGCACTATTTTAAGGTAACTGAAATGAGTTTACTTGAAATTCTTTTTTTTTTTTGATATTGGGGATCGAACTTGGAACCTTGCATTTGTGAGGCAGGCAGGGGCACCACAGAGCTAAATCCCTGTCCCTGAAATTATTCATTTTTAACGAATTAAGAAATAAATAATAATTTAAATCACTGGTATATGCCCACTTTTGAACTTTTCCCAATATATGAAACATTGGCTTTTCAATATTGCTATATTCTAATTATTTTGTAAAAATTCAAATCTTTGTGCTATTCTGGTTCCTGTGAATGAAGATGAATTGCTTTATGATGACTGACTGGTTTGTTTGTCTTCCTGCCAGATTTATCTAAATCATAAAGAAAGTAAAAGTTGTGTATAAAGCTTATTTGCTGAACTGAAATTTGGCCACTATTTGTCAAAGAGCGCATTTGTCTCTTACCCTTACTACACACCCTTCTGTTCTTCCTTTCTTTCTCCTTAACCGAATAGATTCTATTTTCGATAGTAGAAAAGTTTTTTTTTTTTCTTCTTCTTTAAATGTAGATATCACACTGTATCCTAGTGGTCTGATTCACTTGTATTAGTATGCACTTTTGAAAAGAGAAAGGCAAGGATATCGCTAGGAACAAGCCCTAAGAACAAAGAATTGAACAGTAGTTTAAACTGTCAAGGTAAGTTTAATATGTTTAGTAGTTTGTAATGAGTACCCTAGACTGAGAAAAAATTTTTAATTGTAAAATAATCATAATATAGAACCACTTTAACCAATTTTTGGTTTTGTTTTTAATTTATAAACTATATATTACAAAATTTACTATTTCTGGGAGGCTGAAACTGGAGGATTGCAAGTTTGAGCCCAACCTGGGCAACTTAGTCACTTAGCAAGACCTTGTTTCAAAATTAAAAAATGGGCTTTGGGTATAATTCAGTGAAAGGGCTCTGGATTCAATCCCCTGTACCACAGAAAAACAAAGAACAAACCCCAACAACAACAAAAAACATTTTAATCATTCCTAAATGTACAGTTCATTGGCTTTGAATATATTTAGATTGTTTTACAGCCATCACCAACAGCCATCTTCTGAACTCTCTTTTTGCTTTTTTGTTTGTTTAAGATAGAGTTCACTATGTGGTTCAGGCTGGCCTCAATTTTCTGTGTAGCCTAGGTTGGCCTCAAACTCCCAGTGATCTTCCTGCCTCAGCCTCACAAATTTAGGGATTACAAGTATGTGCCACCACTCCCGGCCCATCCTGAACTCTTTCATCTCAAACTAAAACTCCATACAATAATTCCCCATTTTCTCTGTCCTCAGTTCCTGGAAACCACCATTCTACTTTTTGTCTCTGAATTTTGACCATCCTACTTTCTCATATAATTGGAATCATGAATGTTTGACCTTTTGTGACTGGCTTTATTTACTTAGCACAATGTCTTTAAGATTTATCCAGTTATAACATGTCAGACTTTTATTCTTTTTTGTTTTCGAGGTGTTTTAATTTATATTTTGGTACCTGGGATCAAACTCGGGAGCCGGTGCTTGCAAGGCAGGTGGGAGCACCACTGAGCTAAATCTCCTGCCCCTGGTTTTGAGAATTTTATTATTACTATTATTATATAACTATTATATAATCCATTTATTTTACTGGGTTTTTTTGAGACAGAGTCTCACTATGTAGTCCATGCTGTCCTTGAACTCACTCTGTAGTCCAGGCTAGCCTTGAACTTGTGGCGATCTTCTTGCTTCAGCCTCCTAAGTGCTGGGATTACAGGTGTGCACCACCACACACAGCTTGTTTTGAGTTAATTTCTGTATATCCAATTGTTTCAGCACCATTCATTGGAAAGACTGTGTATTTCTTTTCCTGTTAAATTATGTTGGCACCCTTGTCAAAAATCACTTGACTGTAAGCACATATAAGTGTTGATTTCTCATGTTTCTATTCCATTGATCTATATATCTCCTTTGCCAGTTTCATACTGTAGACTTTTGTGAGTTTTGAAATTGGCAAGTATAATTACTCTGACTTTGTATTTCAAAATTATGTTGGCTATTCTGGATTATTTAGATAAGTTCATGTTCTCTTGATCTAGTCTTTAGAAGTATAGTGTGGGTTTTTTTGTTTTGTTTTGTTTTGTTTTTTTGGTACTGGGGATTGAACATGGGCCCTTGTACTTGCAAGGCAGGCAGCGGAACCACAGCCAAATCCCCAGCCCTAGTGTGGAATTTTTAATGTGCTGCAGAATTTGTGACACAAAAGATATCCCCTGTCCTCCACCATTATGTTATAGCTCTTAAACTTTGTTTCTCTGTGTATGCTAAAAGTGAATGGGAGAAATTCATGTGATTTAAACCAATGGTTTTTCAGGGTGCCAGAAGAGCATGTTGCCATAGTAATAATATCTTTTTTTTTTCTTGTGGAGCCTCTCTCTGGCAAAGTGTGGGTATAAGTTTGAGAGGAGATAAAACCAAAGAGAAGGAGTTAGTTGTAGTTTGAGTGCATCTAGTGTAGAATATAATCTCCAAGAAGAATATGGACAAAATTTCTTTTTTGTTTGTTTTTTTGGTACCGGGGATTGAACTCGGGTCCTAGCACTTGCGAGACAGACAGCAGAACCACCGAGCTAAATCCCCGGTCCCCAAAATTTCTTTTTCCAGATTAATAAAGGGATAAATGGAAGAAAATGTAAAAGAATGTCATTAGAGTTTTTGCATCTGGCGTCTTCTACCAACTACTTACAAAGTATAAATTCAGTATTTAAGTAATAAAATTTGACACCTAAGTCAATGTTACCACTTTTGTGATTAAATTACACAATGAATTTTTGCTGTCACTACTCAAATTATTCTAATTATGTTAGGTTGCTGGTTATTTTGACTCTGAAAAGTAAAAGTCTGTGTTATATATTAGTACTTGTTTCACTTGGGACTTAACTAATATTTTAACAAAGAAAAGTGTTTGTTTTTAGTTTGAAGAGATCGACTATTTAAGTCTAACTTAGCTGATGGATTTGACCTATTTTTATCATTCCCCCCAACAGAATTTATAGTAATATGATAATAGTTATCATAGGTACTTAGTATTAAATGTACCTTTTTGTCACTGATCTGTTGAAATTAATCATTCTCTGCAGAAAAAAAATCAGATTAGTTTGGGGTAGGACTTCTTCATAAATTATCTTGCATTGTATAGAATTATGACTTTCAGAAGTTAGAGTCTTTAACAGTCTAAGTAGTTTAAGATTTTTTTTTTTTTTTTTTTA